GTGGCAAGGTGTGACGTGTGTGTTATTTATTCATTTAAATTCATATACACATTTTGGATTATGGGATCTTAAATTATAATTGTTTTTATTTATAGATGATCGTTTTTATTGCAGGAGTATGGCTTCAAGGATCATGAGACTATCTTCACAATTGAGAGATTGGCTTGTAATTTTTGGTAGTTTAAAAAAATAGCTGTCTAATGTGAATGAAAATTGATTTTTTTTATTTAAGATTTTTTTAAGCATTTCACCCAAAGCAGGGCATGTGTACCACTAGCACGCAAGGGGTTACAGAGAGTGAGAGCAAGAGTAAAGAGAGGTGTTTGAGGAAAGGATATAGAGAAGGAGGGGGATCAGGATCAAGGCACCGGAAGATGTCGATTGACATTACATTTGAATATTTGAAGATTATAGCTATCATGGAAGCAAGTAAGAGGAAGGGAATTCCATTGTCGGAAAGTATGAGAGAAGAAGCTGTTGGAGTAGAAGAGGCGGTTACATTTCCACAGTGAAAAGGTAGGACCGAGATGCCAACCTAGTAGCACGCTTAAATTCATGCAGTTGAGGTACCAGTGAAAGTAGCTCGTCAGAGCAGTTGCCATGAAAATATTTGTAGAAAAGACAGAGGGAAGCCACATCACGTCTGTGAGAAAGTGACTGTAGATGAGATGCCAGATCAGGACCTATCAGATTACATATCCGTTTGGATTTTTGTCGAGGACCTTAAGATGAACAGCGGGGGCGCCAGACCATATATGTGATCAGTATTCAATGCAAGGACGAAGGGTAGATTCGTAGACTTGAAGGATTGACTCAAATGAGAAAAAACACCCTCTGACGCGACACAGAGAAGCAACTTTCCTTGCAGTAGATTCAGCTATTGATTCAGTGTAATTGTTCCTCCTCAGGTCAGTGGAAAACTTGAGACCAAGATGGCGCGAGTTACTAACTAGTTTTTGATTTTTACGTCTCCATGCTGGACAAAATAACAAGAACCGCCCAACCGTAGAGGTATCAAACTTATTGTTTGTCAGTATCGGATGTATTCATTTTTGACCTCTGACAATCTCCCTTTTTTTTATTGGGTACCTAAATTTAGTAAGGGAATATGCGGATAGTCCATCGGTTATCGGCGTTGAAAGTGAATTGATCAGTCCGATTTGAAATTCTGAACGATTCTGTTCCGTTCATTTCGCGCTTATGCCTTTGGATTAATCTTCCTCTAGCTATGGGTTAAATATAAAAATAGACTGTATGCTGTAGCCTTGGTAGGACAATCAGTCTACAAGGAGAACTTTCGTGGCTTATGTCAGACTACCTTGCCCTACTTATTTCTGTTATGGTTGAAATACATAGAGTGACCCTACGACCCTAATAAATTACGGGGATCGTGATTGTGATAAAAAAAACTTTGTAAAATAACATTTAGGTAAAAAATGTGAATTTAATCGTGAAATTTGTTTACCTTACCCATTGTGCTTAATTAGTGCAGAAAATGATTAAAGATAACAGATAAATCAATGGAGTAAAGATAATGTCAGTGGGCAGCAATCAGAAAAGATCATTGATTTTTAATGCTTGAGAATCAGACCTTTATGCAGCGGCAGGTGTACACCCTGTCCTAATGGTGTTGATGAAGTGGTGGTACTTTTTCACTGATTCTACATCTTCTCTATTCACCCAGTCTTTCTATGATGAGCCAAAGTGGGTATCATTTATTCACCACCCACTGAGGACGGACTGCTGACATTGAAAAGCCATGTGGAGCAATGTTTTTACAGGTGGCAAGGTTGACATTAAATGATATTATATCAAATTTTAAATGTTTAAATTGTATTATAAAGCATAAGTTACAAAAATTTCGGGTTACAAGAACATTACTTTCTCTTAATTTTTCAATTAATAAAAGGAAAGAATTTAAAAATAAAAAAAAAAAAATTCTCATAAATTAACACATTCATCATATCCCTCATATACTGGCGCCATGTATTGTTTACATTAATCACTCGTCCAATTTGGTTTGTATTTCAACATTTTAGTCATTTAAAGAAAGCTCCTGCCGATGCTCATAAACAGAGCATGTTTATTGTTTTGTGGCTCGGCTTTAAGGAATGTTTATAAATGGAAATACTTGTAACAGCTAAGTATTTTGATGTTACATTATATAAAAGGCTGAGTTAGATAGATAGCTAAATTATTTTGTAATGACTCAACATACAAATCCACGTCACTATCAGTCAAGCCAATTAGCTCACCGTCCATGCTTATATGAACCTGGGCGTTTGCCAAATAAAAATTTGTCTTGAATATATCTATTTGTATTTTTCAGGGTATTTTAGGAGAAAAAAAATATGCGTATATTTAAGTTAAAAAATACGGTATTTGAATAAACATTATTTAAACCATATATACCTGTCTTGAGGATGTATGAATAGTTTTCTAGAATTATGACAATCGTTTCTTGCGTAAACCTCTTTTGTTCTTTGAATTAAAAAAAAAA